ATGGTCCTTCAACACTTCGGAATCGGCGCCACGTTTCGAGCGTGGGTGAAGACTTTCTACCATCAGACTTCAGTCAGTCTGTTGCTGAACAACTCGCCTGGCGACCCGTTCCTTCTGGGGGCCGGCGTTCGGCAGGGCGACCCACTCTCCCCAGGTTTATTCGTGGTGTTCGTGGAGCCGCTCTTGAACTTTCTGCGGGCGCGGCTTTCCAGTCGCGGGTTAGCTGTTGAACACGTATCGCTGCCTCACTTGCTGATGGCTTTTGCCGACGATTGCACTGGGCTACTGCGGGACGTCAACGACGCGACCACGTTTATCGGCCTTGTCCAAGAGTATGCAGACGCCGCCGGTCTCCGACTCAACGTGAAGAAGACATGCATTATGCCCTTCACACGTCATGTATCAAAGGCTAAGCTGGCTCACCTTCGGCAGTCGACTGCCCTCAAGGTGTTGGGCGTCACAGACACGGTGAAACTACTGGGTATTCTACAGGGCGCGTCGGTTACCGATGACCAACGGCTCGACGCGGTGATTGCTAAGGTTCGGGCTCGGTGTGCCATTTGGAAGTATCGGGCGAGGACGCTTCGCGGCAAAGTGGTTCTACTTCAAAGTATTATCCTACCTCTACTCTGGTACACAGCCGCCGTGACCCCGGTCACCCCGGCGGTGGTTACGAAGATGAACATCATTGTCCGCAATTTCGTCCACGGCCAGGATACCGATCTCGATAAGGCTGCGGCGGGCAAGTTCGAGCAGGATTGGATCTACACAAGTGTGAACAAGGGCGGCCTCGGTCTCAAACCGATCAAGGTCTTCACCCAAGCGATGCATCTCAAGTGTCTCCGAGACGCCATTGCAGCTACAAACGCGGCTGGGAATGCTCCGCGCTGGTTCGCACCGGCGCTGGACTTATTCACAGTAGCGCTCGGCTCTCTCGGCTCCGGGTTCGACATTCTCTACGCTAACCTACGCGGCTTGCAATGGGCGCCGTTGACCAAGTACTGGCGAGTTACGCTACGGTTGTGGTCGGACCTTACCATCTCCCATGGGACAACGGAGTGGAAACGCAACGTGCAGACGATGCCGCTATGGTTCAACATCTTCTTTTCGTTTGGGAAGGCGAGGACCCCTCTCAGCGAGGTGAGCTCGACGACCAACAGTGCGCTCAAGGCTCTCGGCTTCAATCGCCTACGTGATTACGTCTACTACCATGGTGACTATGCTACGGCGGAACTGCTACATGGTCTACTATCGGAAGATCTATTCGCCCGACCGCACTCGAAGACCCGACTGATCAACGATACGATGGCTCGCTTCAATTTGGTTACGCCTCTGGATGGCCCGCTCATCGGGCCAACTCGTGCGGACCACGTGGAAGCGGCTTTTCACGATTGGCATCTCGACGGGACACCGGTGATGGAAATGAAGAACAAACACTTCGTACGACTACTATTGAAGGCGCGTACGGACCCGAAGATCCCCACGCTCGCGTTGGAACAACTCGGCCTCAGTGACTTTACGCCCGCGGAAGACACATGGAACAGGGAGATCTTGTGGGATCGCCATGTCTTGCCAGTCTGCGCGGACCTCAAGTTTCGGCTTCAGCACAATGCTCTTGGCTTTCGCTACAAGTTCGCATGGCGCACGCAAGTTACTACGTCTACGACTTGCGTCCACGACTGCCCTACCACAGAGAATGCTTTGCATCTCTTTTGGGACTGTGTCGTGGCCCGCTATCAATGGGACTTTTACCTGCGGCCGTTTCGAGAACTCATTGACGGAGCAATCGATTGGCGTCTGGTTCTCTTCCCGAGTTCTATTCGACTTCAACTCTCTACGGTTCGAGTTTATGGAGACTATGCACTTCAGGCTATCTTCAATTTTGTTCGATGCTGTGTTCTACGGGCACTTTGGCTTCATCGCAACAAGCGGCTGTACAACCCGTCTGTCACGACTTCGGCACCCTTTGTCAAGCATCACGCGCTGGCCTACATCCGCCTACATCTACACAAGTTTCGATCAATGGCAACTGGAAAAGGAAAGGAGAAATGGGTGCGAGCAACGGATTTTATTACGGATGGATATGGTTTGGAGCGAATTACTACGTCTACTTCTACGGGCACGACTTCAGCGAGTGCAACTGACGGCGTCGTGCCATCGTCAGTGCAAGTGAGTGACGCTTAGTGCAAAGCCGGCCCACCACGTCAAGGTGGTCACTCGTCGGACCGGTAAGGGACACCCGGATTGCTCGGGGTGCCCCGAGAACGCGTCAACGTCCCCAAGGGAGGCTCAAACTACCTGGGTCTGGTAAAATGCGGCTTCATCACCTAGGCGTTCCACGGCCCAAGCTATCCCCCGCAAGTCGATTGGAAGCGACAAGTTCGACGACTCAAGGTGCTTTCACGCGGAATGGAACCGCGGCTGACCGTCTCCCTTTCAGGACGGCCACACTTTGAGAGTCTCCCCGGACACACCCCAACCTAGATCCGATCAAGTCGAATCCGCCAGCCTCCCCCCGCTACAACGAGCAGGTTCGACCGTACTGCACAATGTGCAAGCTCCACCCACGATTCATCTCAAGCATGCGGCCTTAGGGACCCCACGCGAGGACTACCTGCGTAAGTGACGACTCCTCTCGATCCACGCACGAATTGCAACACCAAAGCCACCGCTGAGTTTCCTAGGCTCAACAGATCCTCGATGCCAACCCCCTTGCAGATTGAGACTCGTCCGTTTTGCCCGACGAGAACCTGGTCCGAATCGCGAAGCGTTTCTTCTACTCGCCCGGCGGCTCCAAGGTGTCTGGACGATTTTCATCATGACCTATCAAGGTCGGTCCCGACTCCCTGCCGCGCCGTTTGAGGGCTCACTCCATGCCCCAAGTCGTCTGGAAGACTTTGTGTCAAGGTCGGTCAGACCCATCCAGATGATGACTTGTCACACTTCGTGACTGCTTCGCAATCCCACTGGTGATCAGCTCGCCAGCCAACTCCTTTATCGCCCGCAGCAGAACAGCCAAGCCCAAGTTCATCCAAGCCGAAGCCAGACAGACAAGAACCCAGCCATTCCGCCGCAAACTTCCGGAATCGGCCGTTGATCATCTCACGTTGTTCTCGTCGACGTCTCGACGTTCGTGTCAGAACGTTAATATCTAGAACCACTCTTCAAAAAAGTGTTTTTTAGAACTCCATGTAACACAGAAGTAGTAAATCAGCCCTCAACTAAGCCTAGGAACCCCTCACCGTCCCCTAGACCTCGCCTCATTAGACTAAATCACCACCTCGAGCGGCATAAAATAACATGTAAATCGTCAACTTCTCCCCGAGCCCTCCTCCAGCTCCAGAGATCTATTTCTAATCTACAGCTACCCTACACCTAGATTTGGAAGCAATCTAGAACATACAGATCTGCTTAGAAACCCCTCTCAGCCGTTTCTAACCGTCATTTCTATCTATTTTTAGCACTTCACGAAACCCCTGAAACCGCCATTCCACAGTGTAATCTTGCAGTTGGCTAAGGTTCGAAAAAAATAGTAGACTGATGGGTTTTGACCAAGCGACGGTTACACGTGCGGGAGAGAAACTGACTAAATTTGAGTGATGGGTTTGACCGTTACGTGGTCTGTCACAAGTAACGGTTTTGATGTCTTAGAAAGATTTTGACCACATCAATCAGTGGTGTGAGCGACATCAAACAGCGGTGCGCCACACCAATCAGCGGTGGTCCACATCAGCCACAGACGGACTTAGGCTAGGTGCGCACATTAGATACGCAGTGGGATGCGAGAACGGGCAGCTTTGGAGCCATATGGTGCCCATAACCGGGCCATTGACGACTACTTCCCCCGATATCTCAGCAACGGCACCGAGTTATGACCTGGTCGGCATACCGTTAGAAAGAGGAAAGATGGGGGAAATGATTCAGGATCGAGATGGGATGATTTGAGCAAACAAAAACGGTACTTCCAACTTTGGACCGCCATAGCTCGGCACAGACTTGGGCTCAGTCAGAGTGTGATACGGCATTTTGTTTGGCCAAGAAAGGGCAATCGACCTGGGGTAGAGCACGGACGCAGGGAGGGTACATAGAACGTTCTCCCTGTACTCCCGGGCCCCTAGCTCGGCAACCACTTCGATTAAGAAGGCCGGACCGGTACCACCAGGTGTGGTACGAGACTGGCCACACGTGGGAACAAAAACTAGACACCTGGGTGGGACATAAAAGGGACATAGCCTTATTGTAAAATTTCGGAAAAATTTAATGTCAAATTTCGAACCTGGAATTTATACTACCGGATAGCGCGTGAAAAAAGGCACCTGCCCGTACAAAGATATGTTGAAAAATGTCAATACCTACTGTGATATTTCGCTTAGTAGTAAATTTAGAATACTGACTTCATTTTTAGGAACTAGGATTTGCCACCTAGCCCATCGGAAAGAGCGCAAAGAAAACCCCCTAAATGTACAAAGACATGAGACCTAACTCTAAATTTAGACTTTCAAATTTAGAATTTCTAATTTTTGGGATTTTCAAAACTTTATACTCAATTTTTTTATTCAATTTTGGAGGCTCACATTTCTACCCTCAAGTTTTCGAAAATTTATAGTTAGAAGTATATGCTCACCAATTTTCGCGGGGCTACGTGCACGGGAAGTGACTAATCGGTGTTGCGGGTACCACTTTTTGGGCCGGGGTGACGACCGATGTCAAGTAGCAAGATCACTCGAGGTTCTGGGATAGCTCACATGTCAAAATCCGAAAGTACCGACTTTCGATTCAGCCTTGTGACCCTAGCCCCCTAGACGTAAAATCGCGCGGGGAATCCAATGAGCATAGTGGCTCCGGCTGAAAATGCACCGTTTTTGAGATATGGGCAAAAACGTGTGCGAAATTTTAGCGTTTTTCGAAAATTTTGAATAACTTTTCGAATTTTTAAAATTTTCAACATCTGTTTTCAGATTCGGCTTTCTCACGTTCGCGCGCATCTGAAACATATGTCACATAAAAAATACTCGGTAACATAAAAAGTACGGGTTGTACATAAAATCTGACCTAACCACGTGAAAGAGCGGGTCGAAATACCCCTATACCGAGCTCGACAAAGACGAGGCTAAAGTGGTTCTGGATAACATAAAATTCCCTTTAAATTATAAAGTTTCGCAGTGTTCCCATAACATCTGGCCTTACCCGACCCCTGGACGTGAAAGAGCACCATCGAAAACCTATATCCCACCGGGTTAGCCAGATGGGCACTCACATGTGTCCTGTCTAGAGCGTGCCCAGAATACCACCTGAAAAAAGCATATTCAGTTTGAGAGGGTTCCACTGCCCCGTCTCTTGATCCGAGGTCGGGACATGAAAGGGCACCCTCGAAAACCTATATCCCACCCGGAGATAGAGACGAGTCACTTCATGTTGCCCCTTTTACATAGCAAACCCTGTTTGTGCATAACCCCATGCCGTATGATAGGGTAGGACTGCCCGTTCTCGTGCTACCGGTCCGGCATCTGAAAGAGCACCCTTCAGAACCCCCCTTCCGATGCCGGGGTCAGGTGAGACTCCATACTGGAAGCCAGTATAAACGAACTTCTAAAATAGTGGGTGTGCCACATATATGGTACCCTGTTGAAGTTGGAGTGGACCACCCCACATATATGTGTAGTACACCGTCTGATGTACCCCCACACAAAGTAACACTCTCCAATTCGCCCTGGGGCAAAAGTTATAACTCGTCAAACGCAACAAGCAAAAGTGTGTGTGTGTGAGGCAAATACCAGCAAAAAGGTAGACAGCACCCGGACTTCCCCGGTGGTCACCCACCCGAGTACTACCCGAGCTTGAGGCTGCTTAACTTCGCAGAGAATCAAATTTCATTACACTTTAATTCTGCAATGTGCCTAGCTAGTTTAAATGGCTATGGCTAAACTAAAGAGGAGTGAAGAGTGGGTTAATCCAGTCTCAAGGACCCAGTCCATACAAATGGATAAACCAGATCCGGGGCCCGGCCCATACAAATACAAGTATAGCGAAAACACTGTGCAACCCCAAACGGGACTTCTCCGATCTTGAAAATTCCAGTCCCGAATGGTGCAGTGGTCGGTGGGCCATTGTTCCATCCCAGAGGTCGTGGGTTCGATCCCCGCCCACGACAAGCAGGTCACTCTGGGTGGAGAGATTGGTGATGCATGAGAAGTCGAGGGGACTTGAGCGGCTCTTGGTCTGTAAACTGGATGCTTGCGGTAAAAGCTTCGGCACTGTAGTGAAGAAGTCGTTACATCACCTAGTTGGGCAACGGCGGTATGCGAAACACCGTACAAAGTATGGTGGAGCCATTAAGGTTTCCTTCGGGGAATCCAGTCTGACAACGGGTAGTAGTGGGGGGCGGTACTCCTCGGCGATCGCTAAATCGAGGGGGGTCCCATCTGTGAGCTGCGTAAGATGGGACGTGGATCGGTGTAAGCCGTGGCTTCAAACGGGCGTGATGGTAATCCAGCTTCGACGAACTTGAGTAATCCAACCGCAGAGTAATAAACTCTGAGTAAGAGAGTCCTTGAGCGTAGCAGTAAACACAAGACACACCCGGTCGAAAGGCCGGGTAGTAGTCTGTAGACCTCCAGCCTAGCACTAGGCTGGAGGTCAATTCACGTTGGTTCAGCCGCCCGGGGTAGCGGGGGGCGAAGCGTTTGGCCGTCGGCGCAGGGGAAAGTTGGGGGGAGCGAAGCGCTGGACCGTCAGCGCCGGGGAAAGTTTGTGGGCAGGCTGGGCAGTGAGGCTGGCACTGCAGGATCCTTGACCGTCGGGACGTATCAATATTAGCCCGCGAGGCACCGCCCCTTCGCCACTGGTTATGCCGAATTTTCGTCGCCGTCAACGTCGTTAATGCTGGTTTCAGTATGGCCGTCCGGGATGAGCTTCGACGGAAACGGGAGCAACCTGAGAAGAGCCCGCAGCTGCCGACACTTAAGCCCGGAATGGCTCAAGCTTTTTTGCAGGAGGACTTGGTAGAACCGTTGCACGTGGAGTTTAATCACTGCCGAAACTTGGGCTTGAACGTCAATCACATTGGGCTGCATTTCGTGGAAGCGCAGGTCGTTGCGATGCATCCAGAGGCACCGAAAAATCACCGCGCGGACGATATGCAGCAGTACAAAAAGACTGTAGCCGTACAGCTGCTTGGCTTCAGGCTTGGGTTCCACCTTAAAGAGCAAGATGTTTTCCCATTCCAGCTTGGAGTCGAAAAAGACTTGGAAGGCCGGCAGCCAGGGGTCCCAAACTTCAATAGCCGCAGAGCAGAACCAAAATAAATGCGGGGCCGTCTCCAGCGCGCCGCACCCATGATGGCACTGGGTCTGTGAGTCAGTGCGATGCTGAAAGCGGTATCCCAGAAAGAGAGCATTATGCTGCAGCCGGTAGAGTAGATCCGCGTAGACAGGCAGTAGATGCTTGCCCAACTTGAGATCGCGACTCCACATAGCGTCTGGCGGGCTCCCTTCTACTCCAAGGCGATCAAGCGGTAAAGCTGGAACCTCACACTTGAGTAAGCCCGTACGAATCCGAGCCACGGTGAGTTCCTCCAGATCGTACGCGTCGAAAACCCAAGTATGGAAAGCGCAGTAGTACTGGGCCACTTGGGGTCCGATAGGCGCCTCCACGAAGAACCGGCCCACCTTGTCGAGGAAATTCGTACAGGAGCGAACACTGGAGATCCGGCCTTGAACGATCTGGCGTAAAAGCTCAGACAGGCTCGCCGCAGTCACTGGAGTCTCGCACGCCAGCATAAAGTCGACCGGACGATAAAGGCTGTGGTTCGCCAAAATGGGTAACATGCCAAGCGGGGCAGAGGTTCCAACCAGCGTCCTGCCCTTGGGTCCGTAGGTGATGTCCACATTATCCATCAGCGGGGTTGTCCGCTTATCCGCCTTGAGCTGGAGACGCGCGGTCTTGGGTCGAAATTGGGTATTCCAGCAGAACAGCACAAAGTGCCAGTAGGCCCCCAGGCCAGTCCACCGGGTCAGACGCCGAGCCACCACGTAGTCCGGACTGGTATTGACGGGGGCGTACAGAATATCGAAGTCGCGCCCCCAAGGTTGAACCGCTTGGTCGAACAGTCGAATAATTGGCTCAACCCAAGACGGGACATCCCGACCCAGGGTTTGCCGGGTGGCGATAATGACTTTGCAGAGCATATGCAGCTGCAGGCTTCGAATCATATCGGCCACCGGGGTGATGCCGAGCCCGCCTTGACCGGGGGGTAAAAACCACCAAGCCTGGGGCAGCGCGTTGGAAGACTTGTCCCGGCACACAAACCTTGCAATAAGGGAGTGTAACCGGTCTTGAAATCCAGTTGGGGGGACATGGCAGACACTGGCCGAGTACCACAGAACCGGGAGAATAATCTGCTGCAAAATGACTGCTTGCCCTCGCAACGTGCGCGCCCGATTAACCCAAAGCGAGCACCGTGTCTGCATCTCGGTCAACAAATGCTGGAGGCGGTCCGCGTCCGAGAGGTTGGGGCCGTAGTATATACCCAGGAATTTTGTCTGGCCCTCGTTGCCAACCACAATAATACCGAGATCAACCAGCGACTGCCGAAGTGCTTCAGTCGTCTCAGTCCACGGGCGAAATGGTAGAACCACTGTCTTGTCCGTATTAAGCCGCATACCCGACGCTGCACAGAATTCTGCGACCAAACCCAGGAACACCTCGGTATGACGTAGATCGTGAAGCAGTCCGGTGCAATCATCCGCAAAGCTAATGACCGCATGTCGTGCGTCGCCGCTCCGTAGCCCTTTATCCCCCAGCTTGGTTCGGAGAAAGTTGAGTAAAGGCTCGATGAACAACACAAAAAGCGCCGGCGAAAGCGGGTCACCCTGGCGGACACCAGCGCCGAGTTCGAACGGGTCAAGAGGCCGACCATTGAACATTAGGGAGACCAGCGTGCGTGGAAACAACACTCGTACCCAGCGGCGAAAGGCGTTCCCAAACCCAAAATGCATAAGGACCAAATCCAGTGCGTCCCAGGCGACACTGTCAAAGGCTTTAGCGAAATCGAGTAAAACCGCACCAGCGGGCGAGTCCTCAGCAGAATACAACTGCGCCAGTGCTTGGAAGCGGAGGTGGGCGTGGCGAATATCGCGGCCCGATACAAAGCCATACTGGTCCGAGTGTAGAAGCCGGTCCAGTATAAGCGCGAGACGGTGCGCCAGAATTTTGGGCCCCAGCTTAGCGTCCACATTCAACAGTGAAATGGGTCGATAATTACTGGGGAGCTTGCGGTCGCCTTTCTTGTATAGCAGCGACACTTGGGCTCGCCGCTGGAACTTGGTCATTCGTCCTCGTTGGAATTGCGCCGCATAGACCACCTCCATTATACGGCTCCACAGTGGCAAGTCAACCCTGTAATACTCGAGGGGTAAGCCGTCTGGACCCGGTGTTTTACCAGAGGCCGTGGTACTGATAGCCCAGTGAAATTCGTTCGCAGTAAAAGGGCTGTCCAAGTAAGCCCGTTCGGCATCTGAGAGCCGAGTCTTGGTAAACTGCAGAATCCGCGAGAGTTTAAACCGATCCCAGTTGGGCTTCCGGTGGTTATACTCCTTCGACGGTGAGCAATAAATGCCAGACCAGTTCGAATTGAATTCAGAGCAGGTTGACTCTAATTCTTCAGCCGAATCCACAGGTATGGGCGTCTTGTGGAGCACTTGGGGTGGCCGAAAAAAATACTTAGAGCAACGTTCAGAGTCGAGCAGGTCCGAGTCAAACTTCTGCTGCGACGCAAAATGGGCTTGTTCATCCAATTTCGCCTTGAGCTCATTCCTCGCAGTTGCCAGTGGCTCAGAGAAATCGTCCTCCGAGTGGTGAGCTTGGTGGTGCTGAAGCTCATTCACCTTCAAATGGAGGTTCTCAATCTCACGTTGGCGCGCGTTCTTTTTGTCGGTGAAAAGCTCTCGTAGAAAAATGGAGTCCCTCCGCTTGTGTTCATCCAGGAGACAACCAGGGTTGTAGTCGTCCCAACTAGGCGCCCGGAATGACTCAGCGAGTTCATGCAGCGATTGCTTCAGAAATTCTTGCGCCTCAGGTAGTTTAATAACCCAGGCGGGGCATTTCCAGGGAGCACGGCCAGACGGCTTGAAGCAGGTCGAGCCCAGCCGAAATCGAAGCCCAACGTGGTCCCCTATGCCGCTTAGCTGCTTGAAGTCGTGATGAACGTCTTGGAATACCGAGTGGAATAGCCGGGAGCTCACCAAGAGAAGATCAATCCGAGCGCTGCTGTTCGGACTGGTAAATTCTTGTAAATCGGGGTGTTGAAGCCGCCAAGCATCGACCAGATGCAAGTCGTTCATCCACCTCAATAGTTCGTTCCGCCCTTGAACGCGGTTCCGATCCTCTTGTCTGGCTTGATCTAGCTGACTTGACAGTACAGTGTTGAAGTCGCCCAAGACAATATGATTCGAGTCATCCTCAAAAGTATGAGGGAGGTCGGTGAAAAATTGTGCCCGTTGGCTGGGTTGGACTGGGGCATATACCACATGAATGTAGGTAGTAACCGAGTCCACCGTACCACGCACCAATAAATAGCGAGACAAAATATTCGTCGAGCTTGTAAATCGGTGCGTGACGTCCTGAAGGCCTTGAACGGGACAGGCCGGTGTGAGTAATAAACCCACTCCAGCCTGCCCCGTATAAGCGGTCATGTTATCTTGTGACCAGAAGCTGGAATTAAGCTGCGAAGCTTTCTTCCAGAGATGTTTAGCTCGTTTGAAGCTTTTTAGACCCGTGAACTTGGTTTCTTGGACCCCCACAATGTGGAAATTGTTCGAAAAAAAATTCAGGGTGCGTTGAGAGACGTTATTAAAACCATTCGCGTTGAGAGAGTACCCCCGAAGGGCCCACTGCACATTAGAGGTGAGTGGGAACAGAGGAAGGTGGCACCGAGGTGGCCTGGTTGCGTAGGTACTCAATGGTTTCGCGAAGGTCGGCGGGGAGAGGCCCAGTCAAGATGCGGTCCAGTAAAGGCGACATGATGATAGAGGCCAGGGTTGAATCATCCCACAGGAGCCACAGAGGGTGGGGCAGTGCCGATGCTGCCTTACCCAAAAACGCACCCATTTTAAACGGGTCGAGGTAGATGCTGGGTGCAATAATCTGCAGTGCCAGATCGAACTCAGCCAACTTGACCTTGAGCCAAAACTGGGCTTCGTCCGGGTAGAAGAGGCCCAGCGCTTCTTGGAGGTCAGTTGTTACCAGGTCTGGAAGCTGGCTCGACAGCCGGCCATAGACCGTGGTGTCACCTTCCGGCTCGAACGGGCGGGTTGCAAGTTCACGCAGGACCGCGTGTCCAAATGCCTTGGCCCGTAGAGCGAGAAAGTTCCCAGGAGCTTTTGAGTCGAGCAGAACTCGGTGCAGACTGGGTTGCGCTTGGACAGACGAGATTGCCGTGTCGGGGTCCGGGTTCGATTCAAAGGAGCCCAAAAATTCCTTGATAACCAAACAGAGGTTTTTGAGGGAAAGTTCCTCTACCGAGCCTTGGTACACTACGGAGTTGTGGGCGGTTTCTGCAGTAAGTTCCTTCGCTACATATGACCCCACAGAGGAGGCGGGGGTCTGAGACCGGTCCCAGAGAATAATATCCTGGTCCGGGGGGATGCTACCACCCTCCCCAGTGGCCAGCCACTCATACGAGTTGACAGTAGAGACGACTGGATAATCCTTTTGGGAGGGAGGAAGACTGCGCCATTCCTTCGCGGGGTTAGCTGCCTCCCCAAAGATGAGGCGCTTAGCCCGCAGTACTCGATCGGGGGCGAAGTCAGAGGACTTGGTGGGGGCAACCGGGAACTTGGGGGGGTTCCCGGAGGGCCCGATGGCCTTGCGGCGGACCTCAATGGCCACCTCAATCCCATCCATCGAACCGCTCTGGCTGGAATCCGACTCAGACTCATCCCCACTATGTGGCTCAAAATCCGAGTCAGACGCGTCAGCCATGGCGGCATTTTCACTCGTGTCGCTCTGGTCATCAAAAGCCGGAGGCGTACTTGCGGTGTCGTCGGCGTCGGGGCTCGGGGGGTCCGGCTGAGGCTCAGCGGGCTTCCGATGCTTGGCGCGCAGCTCCTTAATAAAGGGCGGAATCACACGGTTGTACTCTCGGCGGCGGTGGTGCACCACCGAGTAGCCTTGACCCAGGAACTGGATCTGGCGGAGCGGGGTGCGTTTGTCGATCATCACTGAAGCCGGGGCGGTTTTTTGGGCGAAATACACCCGGCGGCTGCTGGACCGGAGTCCACCCACGATGTGGGCCGGCGTGATAAACACCGGAGGAGTGCCTTGGCCAGCGAACCAGTCGTAGATCGTCCCGTCGGAGACGTCGTCGGGGAGGCGCTGCAGGTCCACGTAGTACCAGTGGGAGTACTTCGAGTACGCCTGGACAGTGAATTTGCGCCCACAAATGGTCACAGCCTCACCGCCCAGTTTAGTACAGACCTCGCGGTCCGTACAGACAAAGCTGATCCCCGCCCGGGGAATCGCCTTGAAGTCGCGCAGGTGCTCCAGGCTCTTCGACCACAGAGGGGACTGTGGCGTCGAGCCGAGCGAGGTCATAATCTCGGTATCCGAGAAAGAGACGGCCAGGTCGCGTGCTGGAATCCACATGGAAAAGCACAAATCGGCCGAGACTTGCTGGGGCACGCCCGCGAGGGCGGCGCACCGTTTGTCGCGTTCGTCGCGATCCGGGTCCATCATGGCAGCTTCTGCTTTTGCAAACATGGCATCGGTGGGCCGGGAAAATTCTGCTCGTGGAGCGGCGTTCTGCCAGGATTGGCGCCATTTGGCATCCCGGCGGGGTCCGGTCATGGCTCCCATGGGATGGGGAAAAATCCAGTCGCGAGGAGGAGCCAGTTGGAGCGGGACGAAAGCCAGTGGGGTCGGGAACGCAGTCGGGATGGGGGGTACCGGCGGTCGTGCGGCGGGGAAGCTCGAAGCTCTGGAGGGGAACGGGGAAGCGGATGCTACGTCTCTAGTGTCCCGAAGACACCTAAGCAAACACCGGCCGAAAGGTACCTCAATACCCGAGCCAAGTGTAAGTGCAGCCTACGAGCGCGCGCCAGACCCGCTTTACTAAGAAGGACAAGGCTTTTCGGCGACCACCTCCTAGACCGGCCTAGCGTTCTGGAGGCACTTTCGATGGTACCCTCGCGAGTTCCAAATCGCACTACACAAGTAGTTGAGGCAAACCCAGTCAAACTCCGAGGAGTAAGGACTTAGCGCACAGACTCTAGTCACGCAGCAGGGATGAGCCCACAGTAAAAACCGTAGGCGCCTAACTGTCTGCGTGGTTTCGAGCGATCGGGGGCTTCGGGCAGGGGGGGGCTCGGCAGTCCGGGGTCGGAGGCGGAGCGGGGGCGGCTAGCTGGAAAAAGTGGGGGAGCGAACTTGGGTTCGTCTCGGTCCACTTGGGGGGTAGCTGGCAAATTGCGGAATGCTTAACTTCGCAGAGCAGACGGGATACGGTGCTTTCAGCCTAAGATGGCCGTCTACACCAACTCATGTGTGGCACCGCTATTCATACCCGACATTCACACACACTTAAGGGGTATATGTGGACACCCCCAGGTGGACACAGGTGGACACAGACGGGCTAAACGTCCCTGGCAACCCCCCAAAGTCGGGGCTGGCTGGGTGCGTGGATGGCTACATTTTGTGTACCCATTTCGAACAGAGGTACGCTACACCACCCAATGTGCGCCACACGAGGGGGGATTGAGGGAGGTGTGTGGCACACACAGACCAAACGTGTGGCCAGCATTCACCGCCATTTTGGACAGTTTAGGGTACCCTGTGACCTACAATACTACATGCACTATGCCACATCATGGGTACACACATACACACCCAACACCTTGCCGTGCAGATAGCCCCGCGCTCCATATTCACGCACACGCACACACACGCTAATGCACGCACACCAAGGTGTCCATATACCTTCCGCACACGCGTGGTGACGGCGTATGCGACATGAATCGCCATATTCGCGCATGTACACCGTAGTGATGCATGTTCATCGCCATATCCAGCGCCACCTTCCGCCATCACCTCCATCTTCACCCCCATCACCTTCCTCCATCTTCACCTCCATATCCAGCGCTTCCTCGCCGTCACCTCGCCGTCACCTTCTCCATATTCGCGGCGCTTCCTCGCGCTTCCTGCCTAATGTTAGTCCCATACAAAACCACGCAAAACCCCATACAATTAAAACAGCGCCAACACTTAGCGATTTTTCGCAAAGTCTTTTGCTTCATTTACCATACTTTATCCTAGTCTATTTCTACGTCTTCTACGCCTACGCTAGCTACTTATGACCCGTTTCTGCTACACTCTCAGCACGCCAAAGGCCCCCCGGACTTAGCCGAAGACCCCCCGACGCCGCTGGCACTTTGCGGTTTTCGCGCAAAGTACTTCCCGCCTAAGACTTTGGTCGACCAAAGAACTTGGTGAGGAAAAGAGGTTAACAGAGTTAGGCAGCCCGCCATGCCGATCTACTACCGACTTGGCTCCTTTCGCCGCCCCATTAGCGAAAGTAAATCACTTTAGTTTTGTCAGCCTGTACGGTCGGCTGTTTGGTTTATATGTTTTTGCGGTTGGAGGGGGGGGAGAAATGTTCATTTCTGAACAAATCAATAGAACAAGGGCTAAATCTCAGCAGATCGTAGTACAAGACTACTCTCATGCTTACAACACCCCGTTCTGTAGTTAAGTCGTCTACAAAGGATTTATCTTTCCCAATATTTGAAATTACAAGTCAGCCTACTCTCCACCGCCAGCACTTGACAGGCAGCGGAGTGCGTTGCAATTGTATGATGTTGGGTGCCCAGAAGACACCTATCGCTATTCGCGGCACATCGGGAAAGGTGATTATCGTCTATTCCAGCATGGATTCTGACTTAGAGGCGTTCAGCCATAATCCTACAGATGGTAGCTTGGCGGCACTAGCTTTTCAGCTAACCGCAGTTACCAATTATCTGAACCAACGGTTCCTCTCGTACTGGGTTGGATTACTGTTTAGACAACGAACTCATCAGTAGGGTAAAACTAACCTGTCTCACGACGGTCTAAACCCAGCTCACGTTCCCTATTAGTGGGTGAACAATCCAACAATTGGCGAGTTCTACTTCGCAATGATAGGAAGAGCCGACATCGAAGAATCAAAAAGCAACGTCGCTATGGACGCTTGGCTGCCACAAGCCAGTTATCCCTGTGGTAACTTTTCTGACACCTCTAGCTTAAAATTCTAAAGAACTAAAGGATCGATAGGCCACGCTTTCACGGTTTTAGTTCTTTAGAATTTTAAGCTAGAGGTGTCAGAAGCCAGTTATCCCTGTGGTAACTTTTCTGACACCTCTAGCTTAAAATTCTAAAGAACTAAAGGATCGATAGGCCACGCTTTCACGGTTTGTATTCATACTGAAAATCAAAATCAAGTGAGCTTTTACCCTTTGGTTCTACATGAGATTTCTGTTCTCATTGAGCTCACCTTAGGACACCTGTGTTATCATTTAACAGATGTGCCGCCCCAGCCAAACTCCCCACCTGACGATGTCTTCCACGTAGCTCACCCAGACAAAAGCCCGAGATTACAACTAGAACTGAGCGACCGCGAGGCCACCCAGATGCTACATCATGGTATAAGTAAAACAACATTGAGAGTAGTGGTATTTCACGGACGGCAGAGCCTCCCACTTATTCTACACCTCCCAAGTCATTTCACAACGTCAGACTAGAGTCAAGCTCAACAGGGTCTTCTTTCCCCGCTGATTATTCCAAGCCCGTTCCCTTGGCTGTGGGTTCGCTAGACAGTAGATAGGGACAGTGGGAATCTCATTAATCCATTCATGCGCGTCACTAGTTAGATGACGAGGCATTTGGCTACCTTAAGAGAGTCATAGTTACTCCCGCCGTTTACCCGCGCTTGGTTGAATCTCTTCACTTTGACATTCAGAGCACTGGGCAGAAATCACATTGTGTCAACACCGTCTCCGGCCACCACAATGCTTTGTTTTAATTAAACAAATTGCGGAATGCTTAACTTCGCAGAGCAGACGGGATACGGTGCTTTCAGCCTAAGATGGCCGTCTACACCAACTCATGTGTGGCACCGCTATTCATACCCGACATTCACACACACTTAAGGGGTATATGTGGACACCCCCAGGTGGACACAGGTGGACACAGACGGGCTAAACGTCCCTGGCAACCCCCCAAAGTCGGGGCTGGCTGGGTGCGTGGATGGCTACATTTTGTGTACCCATTTCGAACAGAGGTACGCTACACCACCCAATGTGCGCCACACGAGGGGGGATTGAGGGAGGTGTGTGGCACACACAGACCAAACGTGTGGCCAGCATTCACCGCCATTTTGGACAGTTTAGGGTACCCTGTGACCTACAATACTACATGCACTATGCCACATCATGGGTACACACATACACACCCAACACCTTGCCGTGCAGATAGCCCCGCGCTCCATATTCACGCACACGCACACACACGCTAATGCACGCACACCAAGGTGTCCATATACCTTCCGCACACGCGTGGTGACGGCGTATGCGACATGAATCGCCATATTCGCGCATGTACACCGTAGTGATGCATGTTCATCGCCATATCCAGCGCCACCTTCCGCCATCACCTCCATCTTCACCCCCATCAC